CTCACATTCCATATGAGACCATTCATTTGGAGGGAGGGGGTATAGTATGTGTTTGCCTCTTGGCAGCATTCCTTGTTGTCATCCCTGGAGTTTGTTGAATGATTTTCTTATGCTTTCTCCTTCTCCCAACTTTAATGAATTCACCTTCTTCTTCAACATGTTCCTAACTATTGATTGGCTTTGGAATTAAGGCTGATAATAATTCAGAATCATCCTTAAACCTTCTTGATTTTGTCAGCTTATCAACTTTGTTTGTAAGATCAGGTTGAAGGATTAACCAATCTTCTTTGTTTATAATTTTGTGAGCATCTACTGAATCAGAGACATACTCCATGGCTGCTAGGTCTGGGTCAAACTCAAAAGCTTTTTCCAGGTTCAGAAGTGATAGATCATCTTTAATACCCTCACAACGTGTAGGAATAGAATTTGCAGGTAATTCATCTAAATTTGGCTTAGTGATGGGTAATTGTTCATGAAATACCTCCTCAATGTCACTGTCTGAATCTGCCTGCAGGATGTCTTCATGAACCTTAGAAGAGGAAGGCAAGTTCAGAGGTGGTGGCCCCTGATATATTTGTATATATCAGGTTGGAAAGAGGTTGGATAACCATGATAGCTTTGCCTTTATCTTGAGTAGCTCCCCCTGATATATTTGTATTATTTGCAATCCCCATTGTATTAATTACTGAAACAGACTTTGAAATCTGTTTTGAAACCTCTTTTCCAGCATGTTGATTTTTAGAGACCCAAATCAGGTCTTTCGAGATATTAGCATCAGTCTGAGTGGTAATACTCTTCCCCATCCTTTTGGGACATTTACTAGATTCATGTCCCAGATGTAGACAGAATAGGCAATATTGAGGCCTATTCTCATAAATGATTGGTTGAGAGAATCCAGTCTTACCAGTTTGTATCCAGACCTTATTTGGCATCTCCTTAGTGAGGTCTAATTCAACACAAACCCTAGCTAGAGAAGGTCTAGCTAGAGTTGTAGTAGCAATGTCCAGTTTGAGAGGCTTTCCAATTAATCCTGCAATTTCAAACATAGACCTTTTGTCTTGTAGATGAATAGGCAATCCCTCTAACGTCAACCAAACAGGGACAATTGGGGACTCCACATTAGGCCTGAATTCAGGGGACCATTTGGTCACCCTCATAATATTTCCATGAATATCCCAGGTTTGGCGATTCCAACATCGGATGTAGTCTTCTTCTAAATCAAACCTGATCAACACATGCTTTTTCTACAACAATCCCAAATGGAATCCCCCTTTAAACCCTATTATTTCAAACGATCTTCGAAGCGTAGACATAGGCGGCCGTCCCTTATAGAAATAACCCACTAAAGATCGTTTGTGTTTATCAGCAAGAATTTGAATATCTTCCTCAGAGAAGGAAACTGTCGGCATACCTTTGTAACGAGTTTGTGTCACAGAAAGATTAGCATCTTCCTTATTGAGTAGTACTGAAACAAAGGATCTCTTGTTACCATTCCAGGCGTTTCCGATCGGTGGTGGTTGCTCTGGCGACGGAATTGCCGCCGTAGGATTAGGTTTCTAGCTCATCGCTCTCAACTTTGTTGTTCCTAAGCTGCCGGTTGAGCAGTCTCCAAGGGTGGCTCTACCTATTATGGAGATTCCGATTGATTAGTATTTCACTATTTCATGTTTTAATTTTACCTTCAATTGTAAATTTGTAACTTGTAAACTCTTATTCCGATTGTTTTTTTATATGTTTCAAAATTTTCTATATACTCCTATTTTCTAATATTTTTATACACATTTTTATAAATTTATAAAGTATAAATTATAAAAAAAATATGTATTTAACCGGCCCGGCCCGGTGGGTGGCCCGGCCCGAACCGGAACCGCATTTACCGCGGGCCGGTCCCGGGCCCACCTTTCACAAACCGCCGGCCCGACCGGGCCCGAACCGGCCCGAGTCCAAGTCTAGTATACGTATAGAAGAACCGTCACTTCAAGTGGCGGCTTTTGTATAGCACGATGAAGAGCCGCCACTTCGAGTGGCGGCTTGGCTTAACCATGGTTAACCCCAACAATATTTCGGGAACTATTTTTGAACCGGCAGTATTTCATGAATAATTTATTTAATTAGCATTATTCCGGGAAAAAACTCCTTATATTTATATTTACTATTTTGGGATGGATTAGTTTCAACATTTCTTTCTCCTTGAATCAGTCCGTTCCAGCAAACTTCAGCGTTCACCCCTTTCCCTCCACCCTTTCTTCTCCCCCTTTCTTCTTTCTTCTGCCACACATCGGTCATTAGCCGGCGAGCATGGCACAAAGTCCGATAGCAACCCAGATAGTTCGTCGGTCACCCCTTTCTGAAATTCAATGGATTTGAACTCGGGGAACGTGCTCTGTTGAAGCTTCTGGGTCAGCGGTGGTGCTGTGCGAGACCTCCGACCACTTCCATATCTGTAGCTTCAATTTGGCCACAGACCCTAGTTGACGGAAGAAAAGAGGCACAGGGAGAAAGGTGAAGTGAGGCCGGGAAACTATGAGTAGATAAATATGGGGAGAAGAGAAAGAAAGAAGGAAGAAGTTGCAGAGATGTTGAGGCACAGGGGAGAAGAAAGGGAACAGGAAAGAAAGCGTCGATGACTTAGGCGGCAGAGCTTCCTCGTCGGCGAAGATGACTTCGTCTTCAACACAGGTCATTGGCAAAGGCAGTACAAATTCCCTTAGGTATGTTTGGGAGTTTGGAGGGAATGGGAGAGAAAGACTTCGGAGGGAATGGGAGAGAAAGACTTTGGAGGTATGTTGTTGGAGGGGAAAGGGATGAGAGGATGAGGAAGCTCTCCTTTGTATTTGGGAGTAATAAATTTGGAAGGAGAGTTTTTGAATGAATTATAATTAAAATCACTTTGAGATATGACGAGTTTAAATAATTGAACTGATATTTATTTTTAAATGAGCTTAAATTAGCATTTCATTAATTATCCTTCAAAACCTTCCAAATTGGGGGAACTTAAAACTTGAGCATTGAGAGGGTTTTGGTGGGTCATGAAAGCCTTCCAAAACCATCCCCTCCAATTTTTTAAACTCCCAAACATGAAAATGAGGGTTATAAACCCCCATCAACCTTCCCCACTCCTCCAAAACCCAACTCCCAAACACACCCTTAGGTTGTGTTTGGGAGTTTGAGGGTGAGGGAAAGGGAGGTTTTGAAGGGGAGTAGAGAGACGGGAAGGGGAAGGAGATGGGAAGGGATTCCCTCCTCTTGTTGGGGAGTTGCAAATTTCATAAGAGGAGGGTTTGGGGACTTGAGGAGTTTCAGCTGCGGAGAAATGAAGTGAGTAGCAGCTCATACAGATTTTATGCGTAAGCGGTTTTAGTTTCAGAGGATAAACCTATCATTTGCGTAGCTAAACCTTATAAAACCCTCAAATCGGGGGAATTAGAAAACCCAGGTTTTGGAGGGTTTAGAAGGATTTTATAACACCCCCAAAACTTTTCCCTCATATTATTTAAACTCCCAAATACAAATAGGAGGGTTTATTTCCCTCACATGCCTTCCCCTCCCCTCCAAAAACCAACTCCCAAAAACACCCTTAGGATATCACCGACGACTTCTTACCGTTGCTTGTCTGGATGATGAAAGAAGCAGGTCAGGGGAGAAAGGATGTTGTATCGTTGTCTAGAAGAAGAAAGAAGGATGGGGGATTGGAGGCGGCAGAAGAATAAAATGAGAAAGGGAAAAACTCATAATTAACCAAGAACAAACCTACTAGACTAGATTACAAATTTGAACTATTTTGTAATTTGTAAAGTTTAAGGTCCGGATGTTTTTTTATTTAGGGGCTTGATTGTCTTTTTAAAATACTACCGAGTCAATTTCATAGTTTTCCATCATTATTTTGTTCTTCCATAGGGCATCCCCATCCATATGATTATTTATAGATTATTTTGATGACGTGGATGATACTTTTTGAGATTATGGATGAGATGTTGGGATTATTTGAATAGATTATTTGATAAAAAAATCTGGAGAAAAGTGTCAAATAAGTCCACGTACTTTTGACTAAAAGTCAATTGAGTTCATGTACATTTTTTTGAATCAATTAAGTCCACCAACTATAAAAAAAATGACCAAATCAGCATTTTAATAGGTAGTCAACCGGTTACGGGTTAAATGCCTACGTGGACGTTCGAGCTGGCGTTCTTTTTACTTTTTTCCAAAAATTTTATTTTTCTTTTCTTTTCATTTTCCCTTCTCTCTTCCAAAAATCCGATTGTTATTCGCTTGTTTTTACTTCAAGGTCTTCAGCTTGCAGTAGGTTTGAGATTTCATAAGGCAAAAACAGATTCAAGGAAGGCAGTGATGAAGGATAATTGCATGTCCCAGAGGCAAGAAGAGTTCAACAATTTGGCTTAAGCTTATGGAAGGATGAAGATGGAGGAAGATGAAGTTAGGGGGTGACCACTGGGTCTATTGGTTCGTCCCCCTCCTGAACCGCCGCCAGAGAAGGAACAAGCGACTAGGGTTTGGATGCTTCTTTTAGCTATTTCTGCTTGCTACATTTGTTATTTTATCATTCAGCACTTCATGATTAATTTCTGCTTTATGGACACTAGTGGTAGGCTCTTTGGTTTTTTTTCATTATTCAGGTTAGGTTTGTGAGTAGAAACGATAAGGCTTGTATGACCGTTAAAAGTTTCGAATCTCTCACATGGTTAGTGAACAGTCTCGATCTTCTTAGGGTGATTTATTATGTGTCTAATCAGAGAGTGAGGGGGCCGCTTAGCTATGCAGAGCCTCATAAGGAGGTTTGGCGTTTTGTAATTGTGGGATTGTTATCTTTGATTGCATATAATATAATTAGTTTTCCTTTCAAAAAAAGGAACGTCAAGCACCTTGCAGTTCGATTCGATGACATCACTCTGACTATTGTGCTAGTCAAGGATGTTGACATTTAATGGAACATATACTATAATAGATCATAAAGCATAGCAAAAAACATAACCCAAGGAACACGCGTGCAACGTGTGCTTTCAAGGCATATATTGAGGCTTAAAAACGTGGTAATTTGGCATTAGTTAAAACTTGCTCTTTTCAAGAGTTTTTGCCACTTTCAATCCCCGGCTATTGTGTCGGTGACACTTTTGGTACTCGACTTTTAATTCTTTCATTTTTAGTCTCTAACTATTGTGCTAGAGACACGTTTAGTCGTCGACTTCAAAACATCACACATTTAGTCCCTTGAGTATTATCAAATTGACACTTTTCTTCACTGATTTTGGCACAAAAGTGGAGGACTAAACATGTCACTATTATAATAATTGAAGGACCAAAAGTGTCACTTTTATAAAATTCGAAGGACTAAATATGGAAAATTTCAAAGAAGGGGGTACCAAAGGTGTCTCGAGCACAATAGTTGAGGACTAAAAATGGGAAAAATCAAAGTAGAGTATCAAAAGTGTCAATGTCATAATAGTCAGAGGACTAAAAGTGGAAAAAACTCCTCTTTTCAATTACCCTTGCTTTCATTCTATGAGAAGGTTAATTTGCCCCCATTCTCCAAATAAAATAGTAAACGGGTTCTAATATAGGCTGGGTATTGGACTACATTTGATTTTACATGTCAACAACCCCACCCACCCATCATTCATTTTCCCCGTCTTTACTTTCAACATCTTCCTCTACTGCTAACCTGGATTGAGAATCTTCCGCATTAAGAAGTGGAATGTCAATGTTGTCACTGGCTGCTGTAAATTGACAGTCTCTATATGCCCCATCATTTGGTTCTGTTGTCGACACATTTTCTGGGCTTTTGACAGTTTCCAGCTGGGTTTGGCTTTGCCCTTCTTGATGATTGAACAATATTGGAGATGGGGAAGCAGCGATGTTCAAACCTTTAGAAAGACATACATATTTCAATACAAGTTTCTTGTAGTTATTTAGCAGTTCTTCAACATCACTGACGGTTAAGAAACCAGCCTGAGAGAAAAAATAAGGGAAAATCTGAAAGAAGTCGCTCATGTTGTCCTCCTTCATCATCATAGCTGCCCCTTTATTTTCTAGATCTGAGATTGATGGGATTTTATCGGTTGAAGGTTGATTCTTCACATATTGTTCATCATTTCTGGCTTTAGTTTCAGATGCCTCAGGCTGCAAAACAACGGCTTCACGTTTGGTAGTGTTCATGGCCTGTTTGAGTGCCTCTTCTCCGGAGTTTTGATTATTATGACCTAGTATATTATCTGAGTCTACCATAAGGCCATACACAAGTACTTGAGCAGATTTCATATTGCTCTCAAATTCAGTTTCATCCATGGATAGCGCTACTGCATCAATGTTCTTGATGAATGATTCTGCAGAAAGTACGTTCGTGAAATAGTAGGCTGCCTCTGACACTAAACGGGTTTCACGCCTAAACCGTTGTATGTATACTAAATTAGAGTGCAACTGGGGAGGGTTTGCCTGTTCAAGACATCAATGTTAGTCACTGAAAAGAGCAATGCTAGGGGGAGGTGGCAAATTTTAATTTTGTAATTCACATTTTAGCACAAATTCTACAAAGGTTCCAGTACATGTTAGAAAAGATATGAAATTTAACGTGCCCATTACTCCCTCAAATCTCCACCAAATCTTTCCAAACCAACGCCAAAATCTTCACCACATTTCCCTCTACACCCCATATCCATCGACACCACATTTTCCCCCAAAAAACTCAAGTCCAAAAACAATGCCTTACGCCCTCTCCCAAGTCCGAAATTTGTAACTCAAAATTCAAAGCATCAAGCGAAAATGGCACCAAAGAGAATGACACCATGAAAACCAGCCCCTATAAAAATAATCTCTTTGTTATTGTAACTTGTTGCGATTGGTTTAAAGTAACTGAGACATGTTCATAAAATGATATTTAACATTTGAATCATTAAAATGATCCCCTATATATATCGGTTATTGGGGGGGAAATCCCTCTATTCCCCCACCCTGTCATAGAATGGGGAAAGATAGGCCCCAACTTTTTTAGAGTGACAGAATATTCAGATATTACAAGTCCCCATGTTTGAGCAGATAAGTAGGTTACCTTTATTGTGACATATATGAGGACAGGGAGAAAATCATCTGCTCCCGGAGGATTTTCATTTTCTGAAATGGAGGCATTTAGCAAAAGATTTGTGATAACCTTGCAACAGTTAAGAATGCAAACAAGTTTATCCCTTGGCGCCTTGTACATATTGATTTTCAGTAACTCCTTCTGAGCAAGCTGAAAAAAGGTATAAAACAGGAATTAGACTTCTTGGTACCACTGCTTTTTGTAACTGTTCAATAACAAGAGATTCATTGATGTTACATACTTGTACTTACATCCTTCATAGATACACAGCCTGCATGTGTGCAATATATGTCTGCACGTGTGCATGCACTGTAAACAAAGATCTTCACTAACTCAAGGGACCCTTAAACTACATAAGACTTCTAGTTAGAGCGTGTTTGGGATAACTTAAAGTACGGGTGTTTTCAAATTTATGCATTAGGTCCTATTAGGCAATTAGCTGGATATATAAGCAATTGCATTAGTTTTTTAGGTTAATGGTTTCAAATAACCTTTTTTATTACCTTTTTTTACTTTGTTTTTAAGAACAAATATTTGGTTATAATAATTAGCAATAAGTAGCTTTCTATAATATATATAATGTCATATGAAGGTAGTGTGTGAGTTTGCTTGTACTTTTTTTGAATGCGCTTTCTCGCATATTATAGTATATGTTCTATTAAATGCCACTGTCCATCATTTTCAATGGAGCCAACGATTTACTATTTTTTGGCTTGAGAATATGATAGAATAAAGTAAAATGGCTCACCAAAATGTTTGTGCTTCTTTGTTATGAACCAGGCAAGCAACAGTAGGTCTATGCAATTTTCGACGCAATTTTCATGACCATTCGTAAATGGTCTCTCTATGCTTTAGTATAGGGGAGATATCAACAAGTAGGAGCAAAACGTACGGATTTTCCAAAACTAAGACCGAAGATTAGCGTAAGACTCAACTACACATGCATTGACCACAATACCCTTACTTTTAAAAAATAACAGACATTAAATAGACAATAAATAGACAATAAGTAGACAATAAATAAATGCGTTTCTTCTTTCCTGTGGTCAAACTCTTCAGATCTGAGATTTGTTGTGGTGGAATCAAAGGTGATGGCGCCGCAAGCGGCATGGGTGGCGCCGGACGAAGTTACAGTGACACGAGATCCGGCGGTGGTGGTGGAGGCCTTGGCGGCGAAGCTGTTTGATGGCACCAACACAGCATAGGGTTGGTGGAGACCCGACAAGGTGGCGATGATGTTTGGCGGCACAGGCACGGCGGCGACGATGTCTGAAAAATTGACAGAAAATTCGCAGCAAGAACGAGCAAAGCTTGGAGGTGAGTTTCGGAACAGAGACGTTGGCGATTCGTTAGCAGAAGAAATAAAAGGAATAGAAACACAAGGGTATTTTAGGCAACTTGATTTTAAGTTTCCTAAATTAGGAGTGATTTAGGTTTACGGAAGTAATAAATGTAATTTATTCTTATTTTGGTCAAGTCTATGAAAGTGTCTTATTATGGACAATTTTCTCTTAGTATAGGGGTAAGATGGCGTACATCCGACCCTCCGTTATACACCACCGTTGATGAGAGACTTTGCGGCACTGGGATAATGTTTTTGTTTTATTAAATACCAACATCCTTGACTGGGATGGGTTTCGAACTTGGGACCTCCTCCTTGAGAGTGGTACAGTGATGCCATTGGACCACAAGGTGTTCGGCAATTTGCTTTTACTTTTAAAAGAATGATTTATTTTTAATGATAAAAGGTGGTGGTGTTTGATAATAAATGATTCAAAAAAAGTGTATATGGAAAAAGCTTTGACGTGTATTATTTGTGTACATAAGATGAAGTGCTTGGTGGAAGAGTAACTTGTGGTGTATTATTTGGGTGAAATATTACCAAATAAAACTAAAAAGCTTTGAGGTGTATTATTTGTGTGAAATACTACCAAATAAAACTAAAAAGCAGTTTACAGACCCCATCCCTTTCCGCTTTTAGCTTTAAAGTTGGTAAAAACTAAGAATGACCAGGTTGAAAGCACTGTTTTTACTTTATTTAGCAAAAAGCAGAAAAGTTCTTCCAAAAAACAACAGGAAACAATCATAAACTACTTTTAGAGAAAACTACTTTTAGGGAGTGTTTGAGATTGCTTCTACTTTAAAAAAATGATTTTTTGAATGATTTTGGAGAAAGTGTTTAATAGTAATAGTTGGTAGTGTTTGAGAATAAAGTGCTTCTCAAAAGGTAAATGTTGGTAGTGTTTGATAAAATAAGTGCTTTTTGTGGAATAGAAAAAGTGAAAAGCAGTTTAAAGCATCCTTCCACCTGATTCTAGCTTTTAACTTTTAAGTGCTTAATTTAAGCTGAATTTGTCACTTGAAAACACTTATTTCATCATTTTTAAGCGAAAAGTTGAAAAGCACTATTTCTAATTTTTTGAAAACACTCCCAAAATAAGCATTAGAAGTGCCTTTTAACAGTTAAAGCATATTTTTTTCTTTTTCATGCAACACGCTATTAAGCAATGAGTCCTGATGTTGATGGCATACCGATCTAGACCTGAAAGAGTTTCGGTGATAGAGGTACCGAGTGATTAATACGTTTCTTGAACAAGATTTGGAGAAACAACAAAATGTCTACGAGTTGGCAGAAGAGTATTATTATCCCCTTATACAAGCATAATGGTGATGTGCAAGAATGTGTTAACTATCGAGGGATTAAACATACGAGTCACAATATGAAACTCTGAGAGCGAGTGATTGAGTACAGGCTCCACAGAAGTGTGAAGATTTCGATATCAACTCGATTTTATGCCTGATTGTTCAACAACTGAGGTCACTAACCTTGTTACGCAACTTGTGGGGAAGTATAGAGATACGAACAATGATCTGCTTTTGATGTTCATTGACTTAGAAAAGGCGTATATGAATGGTGATGGATCACCGGACTGGGGGTAGTCGGAATCTAAGTAAAATGAGAGAGCGAACTGATCGGGAAATGCAGGTAGATAATCCGGCAGAATAACAGTAGAGAATTCAGAATACAATCGATCCCTTCCACAGGTTGGAAGGTGATATTTATACTAAGAGATAAAAGGCAATACTTGGTGCCCAAGTAAAAAGATATAGACGAAATGGGAAGGGGACACATGTAAAGCTATTCTAACAAACTACCAGACTAATTCGATGGGGAGCAGTCGCGTGTAAAGTTGATTGGAGAGATACTCTTGGACAGTTGGCTGATTGGAATAGTCTCTAACAGACTGCTACCAGAATACCCGTGTAGTTATGCGTGTGCATTCAGGTATATATTATCCGCGGCGGGTGATGACGTGGCAGTGCTTTCTGGTGGTGTTGGTCCTTGCGAATTTTGTCTAAGTCCATGATGTTTCACTCAGACCTTAGGGATCACCGAGGTCGATATCTGGGAGCTCGGGCTCGTGATGAGAGGACTCGCCCCTTTGTTCCCGCTTTCGAGGTAGTTGTCTGCCCGTCGCTTGCCTTCCGTTGACCATGCGTTTGGCTTTCGGGGTCAAACCCGATACCGAGCTCGGGTGACTCGAGGTCGGACTCATATCTTGTCGAGTTCGGTGGATTCCTGAGCCTGGTGTTTTCCCGACCTCGGGGTTGGGGTCGGGCAGCTCCTTGGTCCTTAGTCATTTCGTTGTCCAGCACTTGTTCCTGACCCTGGTCGGTCGGGGTCGGGGTCGGGGTCGGCATGTTTGTGGACTTGGTCTTTTTACGCACCCCGATGTGGCTTCGTGATGCTCTTTTGTCGGCGATTGTGATACCCCTGGGGTATATGGGAATATACTCCATCATGAGTCCCCCACTCTCCGAAGTGAAAGTGAAACTTGAGGTGAGAGTAAATCTTCAATTTCCTGGGCCCGTTCGCCCGGCAGGGGTGCTACTCTTCCATGGTCATGACAAAGGGGTACCTCATTAAAAACTCCGCTGAGGAAAAAACCATGTGGGAAAAAATCCTACAACAACAACAACAACATCCAAGCTTTAGTCCCAAAAGATATTGGGGTCGGCTAACATGAATCGATACATGATATCACAACCAACGTGGGAAAAAATCCTAACGGAGGAAAAATAGTATACACCGCTTTACCATGAAGTCCGGAGAGGAAAGCGACGCCCCGCTGCAGAGAGGTCCGAGCTCGAGCACTGTGTACTCCGCATTCCAAACCTGCTTCATGGGTTAGTTGCTAAATCCACGGCCGTGGGTTGATAAGATTTTGATTTCAAAAGATTTTGTAAGGAATTTCAGTGGTTCTTTGTTGCTTACTACGACGCCGTTAAGCACGGCTTCAGGTTCCCTTTGCACCCCTTTTATGCTGAGTACCTGAATTCGGTTGGCCTGCTTCCCTGCCAGCTTACTCCTAACGGGTTTTACTACATCGTTGCTTTTTTGTTGCGCTGTCTGGTTCTGGACATTACCCCAGTGTGGGCCTGTTCCGTCATCTGTTCAACATCGGCCGTAATCCGTCCAAGGGGAATCAGAGCTATGCTTCCATAGCCCAGGTCGGGGGACGTAGTGGATTTATTAACGCCCCAACCTCATACCGTGGGTGGAAGGGCAGATTTTTCTATGTCGGCACGAATCGGAAGGAGGAGTCGGCCGTGTCACCGTTTTCCACAGATGTCTCGGTTCTCACCCGAGAATCAGTGACTGCCCGGAAGCACAATGCAGGCGACCTGGGTGAGTATGCCGATGACGTTAAGAAGTATCTAAAGCTCGGCCAATACGAAATTGGAAAGTATGTGACCGAGAAGATCAGGAAGGATCTGAAATGCACCAGTTCCCCCCCCCCCCCCCGGCGGTGCTTGATGATGCTGCAATGGCGATTGATGTCGCGCCTGCCGGGAATGGTGGGGAGGGAGAGGATGTGGTCCTTGTCCCAGCATCTCCGGTGGCTGAGGGGCCTGTGCCTGACTGGGGGTTGTTGCGCCCTCGGATTCTGAGGATGACAAGGAGGAAGAGATCACTGCCTCCCGGGGAGAAGGTGAACAAGGAGAGTCGGTTTCCCTGCTGGGCCAAGGTATGGCTCAACCTGAGATCGGTGCCATTGCCCCTGGTATGTGTTTTTTTTATGCCATTTGTGTGACCTGTCTTGGGGCCTCGCTGATGTTGAGCTACTTGCTATTCACAGGTTGCCTAA